TTTGCCCATACACTATTACAATATGTTATATACGGGAGAACTAGCGAATTATATAGTAGGAATAAGGTTGCATGGGGTAGAAGAAACTTTAACTTGGAGATTATTCCAATACTTTTGGAAATGCACAATGTACTAGGGTTCAAATTCAGTTCTCTTTAATTTATTTGACCCAGTACTGATGATCATAATTTTATCTACCATGTGATTGTCATGTGTACGCCACACCGAATAGCACTAGCTCACATTTTGTTATTGTTGTCAAGAACTTATTGGCATGCAGCCAGTAGATTTTCATCATGACTTGTGTTTGATCTTGTATTGAAAAAAGATCAAACACATCATCATAATCTACAGAGTGCAACCAAAAATTTCTTAACAACAATTGAAATTTCTTTCAGGAAGCCTAACACTAAAAGTTGTTTTTGATTCAAAGAGCATCGTAGAGACGATGAACAAATAAGAATAATAATACATTCACTTCTATTTTCCCCGCCAAATAATCCGAACAAAAGAATCAACCAAGGGTAATCAACTGTTAAACGAATTTATCATGAGTGCTTGAAAAATTAATTAATACTGCTTGTCAAATATTATTGAAGAACAGCAAAGGCGAACGCGATAAACGCTACAATTCATTGCTTGCATTGCTTTTCTCTCAAAATTACCGTGAGATATCAAGCTACATAGAACTATGATCGACACAAAAGATATTGTCTTGAAAACAGTCAGAAACATTAGAACTTGAATGAATAAAACATAATGCAAATGAATAAGACTAGAATGAATAGGACACAAGTTAATTTTTACCATTTAAATCATCCAGTACCAAATACCTGAGCAAAATTTGAACCAGATGCATTTAATGGTAAACTTAAAGACAATGATTCATGACAATTGTCAATTGTCATGAGTTTATCGTCTAGACGTATTGCAAAAGATAATCAGAATAATAATGATCAGAATGATACCTCTACTATAAGGCCTAATTCTACATGTACTAAACTACACTACTGCCATTGTAGATTATGCTGATAATACAGATGATAATAATGATATGATAACAATTATAATAATACTATATACTTATACTAATCGTCATCAAAATCATCATGTTCATCTTCATCATAATGATAACAATAATAGTGATTATAATAATTACAATAATAACTTATCTTAACGATAATAATCATGATAAGGATAATAATCACAATAACAAACATAATAATTACAAAATAACATTAGTAACACCACCAACCATAATAATCATTGTTGTCATTATTATTGTGATACTGCTTCTAGTACTACTCCTACTACATGTACTAGGAAGAAGGAGGGGAAGAGGAAGAATCTTATTGTTTATTTTTTGTATTATCGAGGCATACAAATGCACAGGGAGGTAAGAGAGGGAAAAGTAAGGCGACGAAGAGGGAGAGAGAGGGAGAGAGAACGAGAGGGGGTAGCCTATGGCCCGGGTTCAAATTCAGTTCTCTTTAATTTATTTGACCCAGTACTGATGATCATAATTTTATCTACCATGTGATTGCCATGTGTACGCCACACCGAATAGCACTAGCTCAAAAGATTTTACACACTATATAGTAAAGCTACATACACTTAACTGAAGGAAAGAAACCCAAAGAAAACGGACTGGATATTATTGAAAATACTATTCTAAACAAGAATGTACTACATGTACTACATTACGTTACAATTTCACGAGAGAAGTAGAACTCGAGAGGGGAAGAAAAGAAGAAGTGATGAAAATGAAAGAAGACTAATAGCATGAGAGGAAAGAAAAGAGCTAAGAAGACAAGAAAAGGGTGTAAAAAGGAAAAGGAAGAGCACGAGAGAGAGAGAGAGAGAGAGAGAGAGATAGCCTTGAGCTTTTGATCGGCTAATGAGTAATAAATGAAACAGATTTTGAGCGGAGTAATTATCTTTCGCCGGAGAACTTGCATAAGGAGCTAAAACTTGATGTTTTTTAAATCAAACATTATGGGGAATAGCAAAAAACGGCTGAGCATTTATTGCACTAATTGCCAGAGGAGCATTCATGTCTTCCATGAGGCCGCACTTTTGGATCAGAGAGCAATTTAATTGTCGGTTGAGCAATGTCTTTTGCGGGGTACTTTTGGGGAGGAGCAACAATTATTGCCGTAGTAGCCTTTGTATTTTACGGGGCGGTTTTTTAGCGGAGCAAATGTCGGCGGAGCAATTGTCGGTGTCACCGGAGCAAGTGTCGCTTCAGGCGGAACAAATGTCGGCGGAGCAATTGTCGGCAGAGCAAATGTCACCGGAGCAATTGTCGTGTTTTGCGGAGCAATTGTCGGCGGAGCAACTGTCGGCGGAGCAACTGTCGTTCGAGGAGCATTTGTCACCGGAGCAATTGTCGCGTTTTGCGGAGCAATTGTCGGCGGAGCAAATGTCGGCAGAGCAAATGTCGGCGGAGCAACTGTCGGCGGAGCAATCGTCGGCAGAGCATGTGTCATGGAACCCCTCGTAACTGTGAGGCCCCAGGATCAAAACCGTGTTGATGTGCTATATTAGTGCCCTTTTGTGGGGGCATTAATCCTCATTACTGTCATTTATGACTTAAGGACGTAGGTCCCCTAGTTGATAAGCATAGTAGCATACACATGCTTTAGCAGTCACGCAAAACAAACACTGGCAAATTATTATTCAATAAATTCTGAGAATGTATACTATTATCTAGATCTATTAGGAATAAATCATTTTTAAAATAATACCATAAATTGGGGTAAAACAAAAATATGCCAACTATATGAGCGACAGTGTATATATAATGTGAAAATTCAACAAAAGATGACGCAAGATATCTCTATTCACATAAGCTTTCGTCCTTCATCAGAGAAGATTTTACTCTAAAACAGGTGCGGGCGCCGCGCCGCGCGCCGGTCGATCCGTCCCAGCCACTGACCTCTACCTCCGACCTCTACCACCGACCTCTACCACCAGCCCGAAAGTCGGTTCGTCCTTTCGAAACACCCTTTCCACCAACCTTTCTATCTCGTGATCAACTGATCGAATGGTGGCTGCATTTGCCAGCGTGTGGACACGAGATATATGAACTTACCATGTTGTATAACACATGTACATCATCTTTGTGTATTACAATCTTCCGATACATTTAGAAATAGTAAATTGTATTAAAATTATGTTATATAATGTTATGTAATAACTGAAAAGATGATTGGTACTACAATACTATTGTTCGATTTCGACTGTCTATTCATTCTTGCGTTTTACTCTGATGAGTGCATGAGGAAAGGCTTAAGTATGGCTCTTTTCAACACGATTCTCCGATTATATAATAACGTTATATATTCCCGTTGACTTGTTTATTTATTTTTTCCATTCATTTCGGTTTATTGTGTCAAAATTCCATGTTAAAACAGTCGGGAGGCTGATACAAACAAAGATTACAAAGTTCAAAGAAATAAAGAGAAATTAAAAATACTTGTACATCAATATGGAAACGATCACAAATATTAGTTCAAGGAATAAATTAACAATAAAAATAATGGAAATTTCAATATATTGCACATCATAATAAAATAAATTGAATTTACATACATGGATGAGTGGGGAAAAAAGAAGATAAAAAAAAGAGAGAGTGGACAAAGCATTTCATTTCCTTTACCCGTAACATTTATATTTTGAGCATTTATATTTTAAACACAATCAACATAAATTGACAGATAAAACGTGATGGTGATGATACCGGATTTATATGTTTTAAAAATAAACAACTCTACTAGCAAATATGAAGAAAGTTGGAAATTAAGAAATGAAATGGGCACCTGCAGAAGATCTAAAGAAGCAAGCGTGTGTAAATAATGTGTAAAAAAAAAAAGTCTAAAAAATAACGAAATTAAACGCAGTGTCTCATTCTGGCATTATTGTACTATATATATATATATATATATATATATACATATATATATATATATATATATATATATATATATATATATATATGCTATGAATTAAAAAGTTGAAATGGGTGCATAAACCAATTCTTAATGTAATGCATTCAACCAATACTTCCTCTCGTAGTTACTTTACCAGATATCAGTCAAATTATATAATGTTAATTCATGTTACTTACTCTTAGCAATACATGCGCTAATTAATTAATTAATTAAAGAACGTCATAACTGAAAATTAATGAAATTTTGTATAAATAGGTTTATGCCTACTATTATGATCTCTGGTTTTTATTTTCCAGTATCTCTACATATTTATAATAAGTGCATCAGTAATACTTCTTCGTCTACTCCAATGTCTTTGTTGATGATTGCTTTCTTCTTTCTGGATATATTTTTGTGAATAATTATTGTTCTCACCCATTTTTACTTTTTGTACCAGTCGGCAGTGTCAGATTTTATCATACCTTTTTAAATGATTTTATCTTCCGTGTAGAAATCTAATCTGATGAAAGACGAAAGCCTATCTAAATAGTATGCGTCGTCTTTGGTTGAACGTTCACATTATATTCTTCACATAAAAGATCTTCATTACATTTGTTGTGATTGTTCAGGTCTGACAAGACGACTTCAAATGTAACATATCATTAGGATAATGGCGGTTATGTAACTTGGTCTATAGGCTAAATAATCGATTTCACGCGTACATGCATGCATAAGTGTCCTTCTCGTACTTACTGTATAATAAGATAACCTAATTTAAAAGCAGTCTGTCGTGGATAAATGAGAGCTTTAGCATATTATGTAGATGAATAATACACTGTTTATCTGGTTGATTTTATATCGTAGCATACAATATGGTTGTATGTATATTAGATATACTCTCATGGCTTATTGCTGGTAGTTCATATACGCAAGTATTAAAAATAAAATAAAAAGACGAGATAGGTTACTACTTCCTAATAGTCAATTAACTTCCAAGTGCTTGTTGGAAAATGGCTATATAATATGATAAACCATGCCTCAACTGAAATGATAACGATGGTATCTTACCTTGATCACTTGCGACGGTGTTGATAACAATATTGATCGTCATGTTCCACTCGGTTTCTTCAGTCTGTTATGTGTGAGTATCTAGCTGTTGACGAACAGAAATAATACGACGTTTGCCGATTTAAGCTTATTCTTGCCAAGTCCTCCTGAAGAGCAAAATACAATGGATATGCAATCAACCATGTGAAGACACAGTATACTCGTATAGGTCCAAAACATGTGTGCTTACTTCGTCCTAATACTTTGCACACATACTATACCGTTTTCGGACTACAGTAGTACTAGTAGTTGTTGACAGTGGCGTATATCGGGATGATAGCGTTAGCGGCAAACTGATGCTCCTTACTGTCCAAACTCATCACCTCAAAGACAAAAACCAGTTTGATACAAGCGTTTGATTCAGATGGCATTGCATGAAATCGATTTGATGCACCTAATTAAAGCGGGATTGGTACCCAAACTATACGAGAGAGCAAATTATTTATTGGTACATTTTGTTTAAAATATGGAAATGTTCAAGGCACCACGATAACCAGGGGCGGCCGAGCGACTTCCAAAGTAAAAGGGGGGCACCCTACAAAGGGAAGTCTCAAAGCAAAAATGTACAAGTTTTAGACATTGATATATACCCTTACATTGTGATTACATTAGGCTATTTTAAAAAAATACACATGTTTAGCGTTCCCGCCCGCTTCCTTTTTTGGGGCCGCCTCCTATTTTTAACATGAAAAACACTGCTAAAATGGATCTATTTCTGATTTAAAATAAAAAAATAAAAAATATCGGCGGCCATCTTGAAAAATAGCCCGACTGTCAGGGAAAATGTACCGAGCGGCCATTTTGAAGAAAAAAAAAGGGCCTCCTCCTTCCTATTTTCCCCCAAAACAGGACGCTAAACATGTTTTTTATTTTATTTGGCTATCAGGGATGATTTCAATTTTTGTTTCACTTTATACACCATAGACATTGCTTAAAGGGAATACAAAGTTTTGGTATGGGGTCATGAACTATGAACATATTGGAAGCATATGCAATCCTATATTCAGTGATCGTTGTCGCGGTTGAAATCGAGTCTAAAGTTATGAAACTGTAAATAATAAACTCTTTATGTTGTATATCTCCCTCTCAAGGTCAAGATATTATTTAAGCTATAAAACAATGTTTCTCAACTGAAATCTACGGATTAGCTATTCCCGTTGGGAAATTATATATCACAACTACATATTCTGAGAATTTCATGGTCGCAGCAACCATTGCCCGGCCGTAGGCGCAATTTGAAATGTATCACAATTTACCGGGAGCACCGGTAAATTTTTATATTCAGTTTTTCTCGAAAGCAGAAGTGTTTTAGGAGCTAAATTTTCTAGTGCTTATAATACATCCCAGGGGCATCCAAATATATCAAAATGGGAAAGAATCACTATCCACCCGATTTTCAAAATTTCCCCAAACTTTGTATTACCTTTAAGCATCATGCTTTTCAGATGGGTGTGATGGCCTGAACATTTGTAAGATTTGTGAGGTCGCAGTGCGAAAAATTACATCTTATAAAGAAGAAAAACCCAATCCTGATAGGATTATAAGCACATGCGCATAACGGAAGACTGAAAAGACCTTTGATAATAGCAACATAAGTATATCATCTACAGATGCGTGCGAGCTTTGGGGAAATTGCTCTTAGTCGCTTGAAATTAGGGGCGCGTTTAATGATGAGAGGAGAAGGGGATACTTATCAGAAAAGAAAAGGAGAATGTGTCAAAGTACGAAGAGTAATTATCAAAGGTGAAAATGGGGCACTTCTTACTCCCTCAAAAAGGGGCAGTCGCCAGGGATGAATAAAGTCAGGCATGAGAATAGGAAATTGGCATTTATCTACGGAAAAGGGGCCACATCAGATTTTGATAGGGGCATTTATGAAAAGGGGATAGGTCTCTTATTAGAAAGGAAAAGGGGCACGTATCGTTGTTAGAGATGAAAAGAGGCATCTGAAAAGGGGCAGTCATGTAAATGAAAAAGAGGCACTTATATTAAAGGAAAAGGTGCCTTAGTTGAAAAACAATGGGCAGCGCTCAGCATTTAAAGGGGCATTTATCGGAAGTGAAGGGGCACTTGTCTGAAGTAAAAGAGAGTAACTTTGCGTACCTGAAAAGGGTTGTTTACCAGAGAAGGGGGTACTTATGAGAAGGGGAAGGGGTTCTCTTTTTAATGGGGCACTTATCATTAGTAAAAGGGGCACTTATTAGATAGAAAAAGGGGCACATGTGATATTATATAAGGTGTGCTTATCCGAGTTCAAAAGGGGGTAGTTAGGGGAAGGGGCAATTGTCAAAGAGAAAAGAGGCCCTTCTCGTACTTAAAAAGGGGCACTTACTAGAGATTAAAAAAGGCACTTATGAGAATGGAAAGTGGACACTTATTGCAAAGGAAAATTGGAACTTTCGAAGGAAAAGGGGCACTATTCCTATGTAAAAAGGGGGACTTCTTACAAAGTTAAAGGCGCAGTTTTTCCTAAGTAAAAAGGGGCACTTTTCTGCTTAAAAAGAGTGGGGGCACTGTGTCCCCTGCCCCCTGGGAGGGCAGCTCTGACGATAACCCAGTATGAGCATCATTAATGAGAGTTTCTTCAACGTTTGAAGAGTGATAATAGTTATTCTATTTACTTCGAAAATGGCAAGGGAGCAAGCTTCGTGAGTGTAGATCTTTCTCTCTTGTTTACGGGGATGACGAGGGTGCATACATTGCTTTCCGATAATTTCACAACAGAAAGATTTGAGATGACAAATCAATAATCAATGTAAGGTGAAATTATTTGCATTTAATTTTACCTATACTCGCTTAAACTTTAGTCAACTCAAGATAATCACTGATTAGCTCAAATTGAAAAGCAGTTTTCAGGTTTTAGATTCCAGTTGAATTTTCGTTAACATTCAAATTCATATATATATATATATATATATATATATATATATTTAAAACAAGTTTGAGCAGAGGAGGATATTTTGAATGTATGTGTGTATGTATATGTGTGAGCGTGCTTGTGTGTTTGTATCATGTTATTTTAAAGTTTTTAAACTGTATAATTTATGTGTAGTTTGTTTTTTCTTTTTAAGGCCCCACCACGAGCAATTTGCTTCTAAGGGTGTCCTTTACCGTATTATGTTTACTATGTTACTCATTTGTATGTGCATGTTTCATTTTATGGTTAAATAAACTTTACTTACTTAATATATATATATATATATATATATATATATATATATATATATATATATATTCATGTTAACTTTATTAATACAGTCATCACAATTTAGCTCGATCACTCGCCATAATTTCAATATATCGGATTTTTGTTAGTTAGAGGGTTACAACTTAATCGGTTTATTCGTGAAACCCAACGCATCCAGAGTCCCTGACGATTTAATTAAACAGTACCACAACCTTATCCCTGCATTATATAGCTCTGTGTGTAAAGTGTTTCGAGTCTTCCTTTCATCAAAAGGTGTGACGTAACAACCGACCTCTTGAAAGAAGGTTTTTTCTTTTGTCCTCATCCTTCTTTCTCTCGGCTATCTTTACACGTTCATTCAACTGCAGCTAACCAACACCTTTGGGCTAATAATTAAACTTTGAGAATATAATGCGAGGATCAAGTTGAGGTGTTCCATCCTACGCTGCAGACACCATTATGCAACACGAAAATTAGAAAAAAGAAGAAAAATTGACTCATATGAATAGAATCCTGACGATTTCTTTCGTTTCATCGTATAATCTAACGATACATGTATGTATATTGATGGGTCTACTAGCGTTTTATATTGCGAGAGAACATGGCTCATACCAATGCAGGCGCACCGATGAGACCGTCAATAGACCGATCAAAACTCTTAGCGTCGTGGAATTATGAGAACAAAGGAAGAAGAGTAGACAGTAAGGATTAAGAGAGGGGAGAGAGAGAGAGAAGGGAAGGAAGACTGTTGTAGAAGATAAGGAGAGAGAGAGAGAGAGCGAGAGGGAGAGAGAGAGGAGAGATAGAGGAGAGAGGGAGGAGAGAGAGGAGAGAGAGAGAGAGGAGAGAGAGAGAGAGAGGTGAGAGAGAGAGGAGAGAGAGAGAGAGAGGAGAGAGAGAGAGAGAGGGGAGAGAGAGAGAGAGAGAGAGAGAGGGAGAGAGAGAGAGAGAGAGAGAGAGGGGGTTATTTTGCTCCGGTTCATAACATTACGAACTAGAGCTAATTACACTGAGTTCGAATTAGAAATCTTTTATTCAGATGGTCATATATCTCGGCCAATACTTAACATATTAAATTTTTCATGCTCTTTCGGAAAATGAAGTAAACATTGAGAAATTCTAAAAACAGATGTTTATGATGTCACAGCTTCGGTACTCTATAGGGAATCCTATTATACATTATTGAATCACTCACAACACAGGTTGTACTTGTCTAAAAACCAATGAGAAAGATCACACCTGTCACGCTATTAAGCTGTAGACAAACACGCTCTTAATTTCAGACATGGGTATGTTCTACATTTAGAGTGAATGTATTACAGTTTGATTAAATATTCTTATCTTGATAATTATTAAATTATCAAGATAAGAATATTAAATCAAACTGTAATACCCTCTCTCTCTCTCTCTATCTCTCTCTCTATTAAAGTGCCATATCGTTTCACTTTGGCGATCATGCTGTTCCACAACCCTCGGCTCCTAGCCTTCTGTGTTAGTACCACTCCCAACTCTTTCACTACACTGTACATCCAGTCTAAATGTAGAAAATATCCCATATCTGAAATTAAGAGCGAGTTTGTCTACAGCTTTAAAAGAAGAAATTTATGTATAGCTCCTGGACCATCCCCCCATTCCTCCAACGGCCACTTCAAACTCTTTTAAATTAAAAATATTTATTATATGGTATGAAAAACTAGGTCAAATTTGTTCACATATCAAATGTTCTTTATTTTTAACAGAGTTAAGACGTCAAGTATAAATATGTATATACCGGTTTATAAATATGGGGGAAATCATTCAATGAACATTGTGATGAGAGGGACTCCTGGTGCCAAGTATAATATATAATCTCGTCATGCAGTTTCGTAAAATCGTCTGAATCTCATTAAATCTTTATCATGATTACAAGTACTGGTAGCTCTACACATCGTGAATTTATTGTGGTGAGAGGTGGACTCTATTATTTTATAGAACGAAGCAGTAAACGAAAGACATGAAAAGAATAGAAATGTTTGCACACAGGTCGAAATGACTCTTAACCTATTGGCTAGTCCAGAATCTGCACGGTCCTTTATAATTTCCCTACACTTAATTCAAGCCGTCGAAGATGGCGTTATCAACAAACTCATAATTATGCTCACCAGCCCAGCCTGGCGTCCTTATTTAATGATCACGCCATCATCGGCTAGGAGCAAGTAAGTAGAGAGAGGTTAGCGTTGGTGGTGGAGATCAAAATTAAATAGGCCAGATTCTGGACTACCTATTGGCCCGATCGGAATAGGTACTGAGAGTCTGAGAAGGTATCTGAAGTAAAAATATAATTTTCTCAGACATATCTTATTTATATGCATCAATAATACGAATATACAATTTTAAGTCCAATCTCATTCGATATATGTATTGGCAAAAGGTTTACAAAAGATGTAAAATGGGCGCACTATATGCCCCTTGATGCAGTTGTTTAGATATTCAGTTTTCTGTAATGTAAGCTTACTTGAGCTGAAAATAATTTGTTAAAGAATATTGCAAAACAATTCTTTGGGAAAGGGTAACAAGTTTATTATTCTGAATTTTTGGCAATAAAACATGAAAAATTGTCTCTGATCATTTCTAATAAAATTTAAAGCATCCAAATGGAAACATAATTATGAGGAGTGGCTACCAGGCCTAAACAGGAAGAGGTATTCTAGCTAAGTATAGTAATGTATGGAAGCCGGATAGGCCACGCATACGACCTACAAGGCAGGAGCGACGGTTTGGTTTGTTAGACTAAATATAATTTTCGTACCATAATGAAGTTTTTGGTGAACCGCACATCATGGAATCTTCATGTGGGGGATTTTTGTTTCAATATGAATTCCTCTTTCTCGTCTTTTAAAAGCCTGGACGTGACATGGGCGGCGGATCTTGGGAGGGGGAGGCTGCAGTCCCTCACTTTTTCAGTGTTTAACATATAAACCATCATTTCTATCTACTATAAGCTTCATAATAATTAATATTGTGTCAATCGTATTGTTCGATTACAACTTGGAACAAGAATTTTCTATGATTAAGGGGTCGTGTCCATCCTCTAAACGAAATTTAGAATTGCCCCAAAGTAGTTATATTAACGATTTAAAGCTGTTTAACCCTGTGAGAGAACGGAGAATAGAATTTAAATTTGTCTGTTGATCAAAGTGCTCAAAATACATTTATCCTGCTCGGTCACTGTGCTCTCTCCCAAAAATAATTAATCTTTTCCGTTCAGTCGAATGTTGTGCTCCCAGGGTCTTGACGCGTCCTCCCCCCCCCCCCCCAAAAAAAGATGAAAATTGTTGGTCTTGCTTACAACAAGCTAATTGGAGCACACTTGGAGCCCCCTCCACAACACTCCTTCAAAATATATAAATATATATATATACACATGTATTATGTTTTATAACTGGTCCTCCTCACCCCCGCAACTTTAAAAACACTCCACAGTCCAAGCATGACACTGGGATTAAAATTAAGATTACGTAGGTTGGCATCGAACAAATATTAATTTTAAAAGAGGGAATGTTCAGGCCCATAGCTAAAAAATTGGGATAGAGATTAGGCCAAATAAAAATAAAAAAACATGTTTAGCGTCCTGTCTTTTCGAAAAATAGGAAGGAGGAGGCCCTTTTTTTCCTTTTCTTTCAAAATGGCCGCTCAAAATGGCCGCTTGGTACATTTTCCCTGACAGTCGGGCTATTTTTCAAAATGGCCGCCAACATTTTTTTTTAAAAATCAGAAATAGATCCATTTTAGCAGTGTTTTTCATGTTTTTTATCTTTAAAGGTAAAGACCAGTTATGGTCATGCGATTGCATTGTGAAAGAAACGTTGTGGAATCGATCAGAAAAGGTTGATCATCTAGCATCTAGCATCTGCAAGGTTCTGGAATCATCAAAATGATAATAAATTTGGCCCATTCTTCGTAAAGTTTCAAGCACTATACACAGAAAGATGTATATGGGACTACCCTATATCTCTCACAGACCATGAGAGAAACAAATTTACCAAATATATGAATTAGTAGGCGGTTTCCAGGCAAATTTTTTATCATCATGTATTAGTCAAAACATATTCTTTCACATGATTGGTAATGAGAGCTTCCATTTCATTTTTTGAAATTGGGGCGTTTCCAATACTGGTCTTTACCTTTAAAAAAAAAAAAAAAAAAAAAAAATTATAAAAATTATTTTAAAAAAAATAGGAAACGGCCCAAAAAAGGAAGCGGGCGGGGACGCTAAACATGTATATATTTTGTAATAGCCTTAACACTTCCCAGCAATATATGCAAATTGCTGTTAGTTGAGCTCGATAAATGAGTGATGACTTTATCCACTTAACATTTTCATTCCCTCTCAAATTGAAAATTTGTTTGGTTTCATCGGTTTTTCCTTATTTATAGAGCTAAATACATTCTATTAACGTCTGTGATACCAATATAGTTAAGGAGATTTCAGTGGCATTAATGGAGAAGTGAGCTGGTTCCTTTGATGCTCCATCATTATTTGAACGCATTTGGTTCTATCTGCAACAAGTCTTTGGCAAAGAGCTGATGAGTTTGTAGTCACAGGTACCTTCCTAACTTTATCCGCTTTCATTGTAATATTGCACCATCGGCCATAGCTGTCCAACATCTCCCGGAATGCGTCCAAGTCCTTGTAGAAGTTTGGCCCAATATCAGCTATCTTTCTCAAGAGAGTTCGATTGTAATGATCATACAATATCATATCTGCTTTATTCCACTCTCTAATCTTCTCTCGCTGGTCCTCGCTCATCACTGCGCTCAAATCCGATGGACGTTGGTTCATTTTAACGTACAGTAAATCTTCGAACTCCCAACACAGGAGACGTTTAAGCAGTACCAACGATTCATCAATATAGTCGGTGAGTAGAACCAGTTGTAACTTTTTCTCAAGTTCTTTGATTAATTCTTCTACGTGAGTCATATTGTTATTTATGGAACGTGAACTCCCAAGAATGTCAACCCACTGTCCGTTTCTATATTGGCTTTTAAAAAAACCTTTCCCCCTTTTTCCCCAATAGGTGAGTGGCCGTTTAAAAAAGTTATTGAGTTTTTCAATAGGTTTTACTCCTGGCACTCTCATTGTATTGTAGCCTTCAAAGAAAAAGAATGCCGATTCCCATTGCTTGGTAGGGTCCCGTAAAATGGTAATGAATCTCGGTTCTGGACTCATAAACTGCTTCAATCTCTCCTCATTCTTTAGGAAAATGATATGAAATGTCATCAAGTTGTAGTTCTGGTAGTTTGTGTAATCATGCTCGAGAACTCCTAATGGTGGCAGGATGGTCTTGTTCTCTACCAGGACAGTGCGGAAATGTCCCGTGGTAGGATCATGTCTGTTGGCGAGAAAGGAAAAGTTGTGCCGCTCACCGTATCTATTCAAAATAGAACTGATGGTGGTGCCCCCAGTTTTGTGAGTCTTGATGGAAACCACACTGCTCACTGGTACGCACTTCCTTTGAAGCATGGGTTGCAGGGAGGTTCTGGTCTTGCTTGGGGTCATTACTTGTCTCTTAAATATGGTAGGCCCATCTTTTCCCACCATGAAGGAAACGTAAACCAGGAGGGTAAGGCATGGAATGGAAAGTACCAGGTAATGCTGCGTTTGTTGAGGAAGAGAAACAAAAATTAAACACATTGGGAGGTATACAAATAATAAACTGGGCCGGGACGTGAACTTTCGTATAAAACTCCATTTTTAAAAAAAAGTGAAAGTCTGGTCTTGCCTGGAAACATTTTATAAAAGTTATTTTGTATCTTGATACTTTGAAGTTTTCATAATCATCAAAGTTACACAAATTTAGTCAATCCTGTTTAAATCACATACACTCCACACAGTACTGTACATTATGTCGAAGTATATATTTTTCTCTTCATAGTAGAAATTGGATCTCTTCCCTTTCATATTGACTGTTAGTTCGAGATAAAGAAAACCGCAAGTAACCCCCCCCCCCTCGTGGTAAGTGAGACAAGATGTACTGTCTGTGTAAGGGGAAGGTTGACAAATATGTCCGTTTTATTAAATTATTTATGTCTATTCTAAAGTATTCTCTCAGCTACAACATTTTTTTAATAATAATGATGTTAAAAGACTCATGACCTAAAGTCTATGTGTACCACATTTGATAAATTGTTGATGGCTGTTTAGGAAGATATCTTCGATAATGTGATTTCACAAAATGTCGCCTAGCTTGCGTCATGGTCCATAGGTGAACGATCACACTGACGAGAGGAGATGTTCTATTCATGACCAAAAGGAATAAGCCATTTTTCGTAATGTAATCTTATAAGGGAGTTTACAGATACAATCTGCGCATGGGCAGATAAAGGTCAATTGTACCAAAATGGTAAAACCCACAGAGATGAATACTGGATATGCGCTCACGAAAGTTATGTAACATTATTCATTTATGCACTAACGGTACATTCTATGATACGCAGGTGGAAATATTCTTTTTAAGAGGTCAAACAAAAGTTATTTATAAAGCACATCTAGAACTTTGGCAGTTATTAGTTTAAGATGCTCAAAGTGGAACTTCTCCATGTAATAATAATAATAATAATAAAAACGTTACTTATAAAGCGCTTACCACCGAAGTCTCTAAGCGCTATACACACAAAATAGACTGATATACAATTACATCTTATACAAAACTAAAAATGCAAATAGACATACAAATTACAATACATATGGAATACACGTCAAAGTGAACAGAGTGATTAACAGAGTAATTAATCATCAAACGCAATTTTGAATAAATGTGTCTTGAGACTAGTTTTGAATAGGTTAACATTTTGACAGTTTTTTACATTTAAAGGTAATCTGTTCCAAAGTTCAGCAGAAGCTTTGCGAAAGGAGCGATTACCATAAGAAAGAGTTGACACAGAAGTAGATACGAGGTTTAATTGTGAAGATGACCGTAAACTGCGGGAGGGTTTGTATTCCTCGATTAATTCTTGCAGATAAATTGGTGCCGTTTCATGAATGCATTTATAAGTTAAAACTAAAATTTTGTACATAATGCGGTACCTCACTGGCAACCAATGCAATTCGCGAAGTACTGGGGTGATGTGTTCACAAGAACGCATGCGTGTTACAAGCCTGGCAGCAGAGTTTTGGATTCTCTGGAGTCTTGCAATGTGCGAGTCCGGAAGGCCATAAAGAAGGCCATGAAGGCCAGAAGGCCAGAAGGCCATGTGTAAAAGATCTGTGGATATTTGGGGTCATTTGTACCATGTGCTATCTGTAAACTCCCTTATTCATGCATTTGCCTTTATGAAGCTCCTCGGTACGATCTATTTCATTCATCTGTAATGAGTCAATATATCTCAATAGTCAGAATTAAAATCGCTTACATTAGTTGCTGCTAGGTAGGACAAACATTATGGCTTTCCCTACCTCACAACATGTAATAAATGCAATTTGCATTCTTCTGACTATTGAAATACAATTATTAGTAACGGGTGAATGAATTAATACCTATTAAGGCCCGATCGAGGTACTTAAGTATGTATATGTTGAAATTACGAAGATGGCCTATTAGTGGTTAAGGATTGACAGTTATTGGATTGTGCATTTTTGAGAAAACCTGAGCACGAAACGTACAGAAAGATAAAGATTCTGACGAAATTAAGAGGTTATCTGCAAATGCTGCATCGCATCTATGTTTTTTTTTAAATCCTTAGGGTTTAGTGCAATTTCGAAAGCCTATTGTTTGTATCATAGATATCAAAATCGAATTGAGTGATATGCCATTGTCATGTTCGCACATTTAAATACGTGACATGTTCCTAATATTGTGTTATACCAATTAGTATGTTAATATCTAATCCTGTAAATACCTTTTGCTTCATTGTAAAAGTCCAATCGATGCTGCAGTCTTGGAGATTATGAGTAGAAGTTATTCGATGATTCTCACAAATGTACCGTGAGGTTTAAATAAGGAGATGGTGCGTGAATATACAAATAACGCACGTCCCAGAGTGCAATAGCGGTGAATGCAGTACGCGCGAGGTTTCTTTAGATTGGTGCCGCTCTGTGCAACGAGCCGCTTGCGGCGAGTTGACAGTGCGAACCATCTGAAGAAACCGAGCGTTTACTGCATTTACGTTTTGCACAACAGGGTCAAGTGCGTTATTTGTTTTATAAAATAGCGACACAAATAGCAAAAACGAAACTTTAGATCTAATAAGTTAGAGTCTACGAGAGTTCGATCTAGATCTAGATCTAGAGTTATGTTGGTTCTACTTCTAATTAGACTAAGACCTTGCAGTTGCAGGCTTACCAAAAAGTCAATGGGATTCATTGCCTTGATTAAAAATAAAATCCATACAGTGGGTCTAGAGACGAGTCTACATCAGACAGCTGAAATTCCTGGCTTCATTATAAAATCCAAAAGTCAAAACAGGCCTAAATCCAAGGCAAAAGTAAAATAAAAATTTGCTTTTTAATAATACCCCGCTGGCCGCTCTAGCTAGCTAGCTAGAGCTAGCTACGCGTACGTTGCGCTGGGGATCATGGTGGAGCGTACAATATTAGCTACGCGTAGCCTATAATAATTGCAATGCAACTCGAGGGAGCGCGTACTACACGTACGCGCGCGCACTGGATCTCCATGGTCACGCGTACGCACCGTGCAATATAACTTTTTACTGCGCTTTTTCTGCACTCATTTCTGCAAAATCGTGCTTGCATCAAATTTTTTTCAATGTCATGTGACGCGTATTGACCAATCACGATGCTTAAAATACTAGAGCCATTTTATAATCTCTGCTAACGCGAATCTTGAATGAAACGGCCCTACAAATTGCACACGGTTGATGTTCAGGAAAGAAAGACAGAAAGGCAGAACAAAAGGGCAAAGAAAAGTATTCGTGTCGTCACCAGGGGCATTGGTTGGTGCTGGCATCATAGTACAGTCGGTTCGTTATGTTTCCCCCATTTCAAGGTTTAAAGAACGGGACAGACACTATAATTTGCAAACACATCATAATAGTTTATTATTCAAACTGAAACCAAAAGATCACAGGTTACAGTAATCCATAGTCATATCAGTCCATCCGAAATCCGTTAATACAGTTCATAGCATAACTGTCAAATTACTTAACAATCCACTGAACAGTAGTTCAACCGTATTTACAAACCTACACACTGGCGCATCATCCACTATAAGATTTCAACATAATAACATTAGGAAATTTTGAATTCCTACTATACCTTCTCAGACTCAGCTAGATACCAAGATTAAGAGAACCACTGAGCTGGTTCTTAAGCGATTCTTCTACATAACCATCCTTAGCAGAATCAGATTTCCACCTTCCATGTTTCTTGAAAAGACGATCAGATATGCCTATGGCAGCTGCCGCAGAGGCACCACCTGCCCTAAGGCTATGCAAGCCAAAGTATGACGAATCTAACCCTATTGACGATAAGGCAGCCTTAAAAAGATCGCGGCATTGATCATGTCGTGTGTAATTGTACTATATTCATGTTCGTGTGTACATTGACTGTATATTTAACAATGATGTGTAATCATCCATGACCTAGCATCGTTAAGCCATTCATGAATGAACCTGCATTCAATCAGCAGATGTACGAGATTTATTGTATTATTACCAACGCTCCTTCTCTCCCCTTTCCTTTTCTTCTCTGCAAGTCAGTCTTTTCTATTTGTATTTGTTATTGTTGTTGTATCTAAGTTGAAGGCTGCATGCACGTCAAGCTATTTTGCTTATTTCTGTAGCCCTCCTGCATCTAATGTATGTTAATTATGCCTTCAATATATTTGCTTAAATTCGTTTATTATCTGTATAAAATTATATTGTATCAAACCATATTATGTTCATGAAAATGTATGATGAAAAAAGAAAAAAGATGCAGAAACCAATAAATCAAATCAAATCAAATCAATGTTGTATACGACAACTTGCCCCCTCTCGAAACATATTTCTTCAAGGATTTCTTGAGCGTCAATGGGCGAAAAAGGTATTCCTCTTAAGAACCTGGAATAATGTCACCTAATAGCATATATTTATTCAACATGGCAACTGGACAGGTAGGTTTGCCTGTTGCAGCAATAATGACCCAGGCACCTTCTCTATATTGGTCAGTTTTACTATGCTGAATGAAACACTTGACATCATGTGAAGTATGTACAGAAATATCACACTCTCTGAGCTCCACTAGCTCAGCGTGCCTAAAAAGGCCTGCATAAGCTAACAGTGTCATAGAACACAATCTGGTTTCCTTTAAACAATTAGAACAACCATACTTACAAGTTTGTTCAGAATATCTGGAGTTATAGGTTCCTTCTTGCATTTTGGATGAGCTAGAATTCTTTTCAAGCCTGCAAGAAGTAGATGCGAAAATCTTGAATTACAGGGATTCACCTCGGTTACTGGCGAGCAGTCAAGAAACCATTTAATACCAAAATGTGCTCCTTCAATCCTTGAATAGGGTGCATCATTATTATACATGCTCATATAGTACCTTGCGATATCCGCCTTTTGTGCCGGTAACTCACACACACAGTTTGTAGCACACCATGACTTCCAATCTTCAAACGCTTTCCTGTATTTCGCAACAGTGCTAGTAGCTCTAAATGCCATCAACACTTCCTGCAATGATTTATGATCACTTGTTATCCTGCAATTCAATATACAGAGAAGAATTGAAAATGTTGTTCTCATACGAGAAATTGTGTTCATCAAACCAAACGGTTAAATATATTTGAAAACACTCAAAATTAGCAATCCACATGACCAACCTACTATACAAACGTATAACTGGAGAGAATACCATGCGGGTTTATAACTCTCTTAAATGCAATGCTGCACAATCAATCCTCATAACAATATCACATTCATGTATATACTATTGTCTCTGTTTCCAATCTCAAATCACTTTTACCTCCTGAGATTCTACTTAGAACTTATGGAACCCTAGTATTTCTTCCATCTAACCTCAGGCATAAGACCTCACTTGTCATCTTGGAAGTCCCAAAAATAGAATTAGGGTTACGACCTTGAACAAAGATATGCTTTGGATCAGAAAATCTCATGACCTCAACCACCAGGTTACTGAAACTACTGTTTGATGAAAACAAAAGAGGCCAAAATGGGGCAGACGGCCATGAAGGCACAATCAATGTCGCTAAAGCCCGGCAAACTTTAACATGTTTGATCCCCGGGTTTGATCGCCCTTCCCACTAGGGAGATAGGGGGGATCAACCAATTCCTCTCCTTACTCCAATCACCAGAAAACTCATCTACTTGACTAGTAGAAGGACACCAGAATTTAGAATTAAACACCGGTAATTTATGATTGAACTCATCAGCAAATCTATCTACTGTGTGCGGGCCCCATTTAGTATCAATGAACTTAAAAAACTCTACAGTAACACCCCAGTCATCGAAGTCTTCTTGTCTACTCAGGACATCTGCCTCTACATTCTCATCTCTCGGGACCCATTGCACAGAAACTTCTAAGGGTAGACTGTTACAAAAATCAGCAATACGCAATGCTAAATTATGCAAATCGACCTTCATACTGCCTTTTCTCATAATGACCTCTACACCAGTGTTGTCAGTTAACACCTTGACCTTCTTTCCTTTTAAACTTGGCGAGAATGCTTCCATTGCCAATGAAACTCCTTTGAGTTCTCTCCACGTAGAACTTTTACCAATTTCATTACACTTCCAATTCTGGAAAAATTTCAGTTCTCCACACTGAGCCATCCAGGCGCCACATCCAATGTTGCTAGCATCTGAAAATAGTAACACTTGAGGTACGTGTCGAATACTCAAACAAAAGTCTGTTATTCAATCTATTTAGATTTTCTTCCCAAAAGAAAACTTCTTTGAATACAGGGCTGTCAACGGCTAACTTATAAACCTTGTCCCAATGTAGGCGTTTTGTCACCTCCATGTACATAAATCTAGTTCTCAGTTGCGAAACGTTCCCTACAACTGGATACAAGGACAAAACTTTACCTGCAAGAGAGGCTAATTCTCTGGCTGAAACCAATGGAAATTTCAAAGACAGCCTATCAAAACATTAAAAAATATCAGAGATTCGGCGTTCAATCACTCTAATAGCTCCTGGCTCTGAATCCCAAATCATACCCAACCAATTCAACTTGGTTGTGGGGGTCCAAACAGACTTCTCAATACTAGGCACAAATCCTGCGGCTAACAAATCATCTTTGACACTACTTGATACTAACTTGCATGAACGCAAAGAATCACATCTACACCAACCGTCATCAAGGAAAACAATAATAAAATACCCTTTCTTCCTCCAATGTCTGACAAGAGGTCGGATACATTTAGTGAATATATACGGAGCTGTCGATAAACCAAACGGCAAAACCTGGAAAGAAAAGTATTTAACTACCTTTCTGATCTCCCAACTAAAGCTTAGATATTTGCAATGTTCCTTAAAAATATCAAAATGATGGTATCCAGACTTAAGGTCAAAACTGAACATAAAGTCACCTTGTTGGAAAAATTCAAGAGCAATATTCCAATCCTCAAACTTGACCTTCTGTTTCCACAAGAATTGGTTTACATACCTAAGATCCAAAATAAGTCTTAGCTTACCAGAGCTCTGAACTGAAACTGATAAGGGATTCACTACGCAAGGTTTAGTTGTACATTCTACAATAAGGTTCTTAGACAAAAGTTCATTCACAGCTTCCAAAACAAAATCTTTATATTTAATTGCAGATTTATTGTTCTTAAAACAAGCTAAAGGTGGTGTATTCACAAAAGGTAATTTGTACCCTTCACAAACAATACTAACAATCTCCGGTTCCGCACCAATAGCACACCAAAATTCAACAGATGCTTTGAGCCTTCCTTTACTAATGGCTCTGAAATTCCTTGTTCATATTCATGAAAATTGTTAATAAAAAACTCAGGATCGTACCTATCTGGTTGGTTTGTGTCCAGTTT